GACTACGCATCCCATGCCTTCCAGTAGATGGTGTTCCCTTCGGGTTTCTTCCTTGTGAGGTCCCTTCCAGAGCTTTCAGCACTGCAGAGCCTGTGGAGAAAGCTTGAAAGCGATTGCTTACCTCTATAGCATCGGGGGATTCCCGTGCTGGCCTTTTTCCCCTACTAGAAGTTACATGCTGCCAGTTCTCTTCTTGGTCATGTACTGCCCTCTCTGGCTCTTCTGCCTGCCGTGCTTGAAGGATTAAATGCTGCCTTCTATCGAGGATGTCTTCATCCTCTCTGATCAAGCGTAGGGTCGACACTTGGGCCTCCAGTCCTCTAATTTTTTCTTCAAAAATGTCAATCAGCTTGCACTTGGTGCAGATGAAGTCAGTTCTTTCTTCCAGGAGGAAGACAAACATGGCACACGCTGTGCAGGTAACAACAGCAGACCCATCACCAACCATCGCTGCTGTCCTGGAAAAGGGATTTAAAAAGAAAGGCAAGAGAACCTCCCGCCCTTCCCTCTCCCCTTCCAAACTCCCTCTCAAAACTCCCTGTTAGCAATCACCTGTTCGCAAGCTCCTTGGTCACTTGCCCACTGCCTTATAAAGCCCCTCCCCCTATCAAGGCTCAGCCAATCAGCAGAGGCTTCTAGAATTCAAACTTTAATTAGAAGCCAACAGTTTCCACCTGCCAATCACAACCAATCACAGCACAAACTCCATCAAGGGGAGGGGGAGGGCAGAGGGGAGGTGGGAAAAAAAAAAGCCTCACTCTCAAACACAGGGTAAAATAAATAAATAAATAAATAAAAACAAAAACAAAAAAGAACACACACCACCACACACCAAACAAACACAAGCTCAGCACACAGTAAGAAAGCCCCAATAACAAAACACACTTCCCTCAAGAGTCCTGTATCTGCTTCTCCTTCACCTGGAGAACTCCCTCTCAAAACTCCCTGTTAGCAATCACCCACGCTGGTGCTCCAGCCCACCCACCCCTGCCATGGAGCTGTGACACAAAATCTACAAGCCCGGGCCCCCTATGCTCTGGTGTGCGAGGGGAATGTGGGGAGTGTCTTTTTTCTTCTCAGTGAGGGGCCATGTCAGTGAGGGATTTGGGGTTTTTTGTTTGGTTTTGTTTCTCACTTGTGTGTGGCCCCTGACTGATTTTTCTGTGGGTCAGCGGCCCCCAACCCAAAAAAGGTTCCCTACCCCGGAAGGCTAGGTTCTGAAGTGGTGTAAGTCAGTGTAGCTTCACTGAAAATAATGGAACCGCACTCATTTATACCAGCTTAAGATCTGGCCCCAAGCACTTAACTAGAGTTCTATAGAATTTGAAATGGTATTATACTGTGGGGTGATAAAGTTATTAGTAGTCAAAACAAAAGTTACCTTCTTCACTTGTCCGCAAAATGTTTCTGGCAGGAAAGCAGTTGGTTGCATAACTTTTTCCATTGTCCAGTTTATACAGTGTAGCCATATTGTCTGCAGAGTTACTAAGAAGATCAAGGCACAAATAAACTAAATTAACTCTTTCACCGGTCCTTTCACTAGTACAGCTAACAATGCTACTCAAAGCACTGTACAGAGGTTAGTTAGTTAATCCTCAAAACAATCTTGTGAGTGGGACAGAGTAGCCTGCACTACTCACATACAAGGGAAACAGAGATGGAGAGATTACAGCTAAAATGTTCAAACATGAGTGCCAAAATATAGGCAGCTAAATGCATCTTTTAAATATCAGAATATATTTGCTTGACTCGGGACAGAATACAATTCCCATTATTTTTCTGCTTTAACAATCATCCTCACATTTCTTACCCCTTTCCTGTGTTATGTTCAAGTTCGGAGGCCTTGAGAAGGATACACAGACCCGTGTTTCAAACCCTGGGAGTCAGATATTAAGCACTTAAGTCCATATTTAGGCACCCTGAATAAGTGACTTGATGGAATAAGGAGAGGTGGGAAGGATTCAGTATGCCATTGGCATGACAGAGTAAAGTGGTGGGGTGCTACCAAGGAGATGGGACAGTGTGATGGGATAGCACGAAGTTGGCATGAGATAATGCAGGGCTATGGTGGTCACATGGGGATAGCATCAGCAGGTTCCTGAAGTGGTACAAGTGCTAGGCATGGAGTGGAGTTACCACAAAGGCATTAAAGGAGATGTTTGCATGGGTGATTGGTGGGAAACCAGCCCAACAGTATGCTATAAGTAGAGGATGCTGAAATGGCTTTGGCCACACAACGTCTGTCTCATATTGACAAAGGAATATGATATGATGGCAGTTGGCACTGCATCAGCACAGGAATCCTGACCCACAGTGTGAGACCTACTGATATAGATTCCTAACGGAGAAAACAGCACAAGGAGTTGGTGCTTGAGCCCGTGGTTGCAAATGATGATGATGATGCAAGGAAGTGATGTGGTTGGTACCTGGCTGGGTGCAGACAGGACAGAGAGTGCCGGTGTGTAGTCGGCGTGGGGTAGCAGTGGGAGATGGAATGGGCACGTGGCTGCTGTAGGGTACCAGTGAGGGGCGTGGCATGGGGCAGTGCGTGTGCAGTTGTGGGGTACCAGTGGGGGGGTGGGCCTGTGGGTACTGGTGGGGGATGCGGTGGGGGGGAGTGGGTGGCTGCTGTAGGGTACCAGTGAGGGGCGTGGCATGGGGCAGTGCGTGTGCAGTTGTGGGGTACCAGTGGGGGGGTGGGCCTGTGGGTACTGGTGGGGGATGCGGTGC